TGGGATGGATTCAAGAGAATTGATAGTCCCAGTTAACGGGTTAAACCTCGAGAGAGTAATCACCCTACTTAAAACCTAGTTGCTTGATATAATTTACCTACCCATTTGGTCTCGAGAGAGTTAATTGGGCAAAATCACTCTTTCTACCAAGAGGTGTGAGAGTGAATAAAATTGTGCAACGGTTATAGCATAACCCCCAAATTATGTCAATCGAACCTTAGTAACATCTACCCATCAATTAGCTACCTAGGTAATGTCACGACCCTAGTGCCCTTCTTCCCATTAGATACAACTTAGCAATTATCTCGTAGCATAATCTAGTTCCAATTAGTAATTAATAATATTAGTATATTAAAGAAAATTCAAGAGATATTTGGAAGTGACATTTGGAACAATTACACAACTCTAATCTAGATAGATACTTGACTCCACTACTAGTTCCCTGAGGAATTCGATCCCGACCCTCATATCGGGTAAAAGCTATTGCGACCTGCTCTTCCTACGTTAAGGTAGCGTTGAGTTGACATCGATAACTTTTTGGCGTCGTTGTCGGGGAGCTAACGGTGTTGGCTATCTGTTTAGTTAGTTTTGAGTTTTATTCTTCTTTCCTTATTTGTTACTTACTTGTTTGTGATATTACTCAGGTACCAACATGGCTTTAAACAACGCAAATGACCCTCTTGGAAGCATGATAGCAGGGGAGGAGGTAGATGATCTTGAGCAAGATGAGGTGCCTCTTGCACCTCAAGGTCAACGGAGAGGCCGGAATACAAATGCTATTCCAAATGACAATATTCCAAACCCTCCCCCAGTTCCCCCAAGAGGGGCTCCCAGAGTATTACCGAACCAGGGCTACGCAAGTGCTATTGTCCCACCTCGAATCCGGGTGGGCAACTTTCAGATAACCAATGTGATGTTGACCTTACTTGAGTAGCGTGGGTACTTCACGGGCGTTACAAATCAAAATACCTACAAATATCTCAAAGGGTTTGTAGATACATGCTAGGGGAGAAAACAGACGAATTTGTCCGAGGATGCATTGAGATTAAGACTTTTCCCGTTCTCACTGCGGGGAAAGGCATTGGATTGGCTTGAGAGACTCCCCAACCATTCTATCACAACTTGGGATGAGTTAGCGGATAAGTTTATTGCCAAATTCTTTTCTCCTAGTCATATGGCGGCACTTCGAGATGAAATATTAGCCTTCAAGCAAGAGCCAACAGAACCTTTGCATGAGATTTGGGAGCGGTATAGAATGATGGTGAAGGAGTGCCCAAATAATGATATGACCGAGGCCATGATCCAACAAACCTTCTACCAAGGCATAAATACTACAAATCAATGCACTGTTAACCAATTGGCGGGGGGAAATTTTATGAAACTTTCGTATGAGGAGGCATGTGATGTACTTGAAGAAATGGCGGACACTTCTTCAACATGACAGAGTAGAGCAAATGTGCCTCAAGGTGACCCTACGGTTATCCATTTGCACAAGGAATTACATGATCACGGGAAAGCGATAGCTGAGCTTACCACCATGATGAATCAATTGGCTAAGGCATAGTTACAACAAGTTCAAAATCCTCACCAAGTGAATGCCATGGAGGGTGTCAGTATGCTTGTCAACAAGAGAAGGCAAATGAGGCAACAAAATCAAGGAAATATTGAGCAATTTGTTGATGATTATGATGGGTGTCAAAATGATGATTATGATGACCAAATCGAAGAGGTAAAATATGTCAACAACTATCAAGGCAATAGAGGCAACTCTTCAAACCAACAATGGTGACCCCAAGGAAATTGGGGCAATCAACAACAAAGTGGTGGCAATTGGAACAACAACTAAAACAACAATTAGGGTAATCAGAACAACAACCAAGGCAACTGGAATGAAAATAACAACAACTGGGGCAACAACAACAATCAAAGTGAGTGGAACAATAATGGAAACCAAGGCAACATGGGGCAAGGCTTTCAAAGGCCCCCAATGTACCAACAACCGAACAATCCACCCCCTTTCTCTTCTAAGGGTCCTAGTTCTTCTGGTAATGATATGGGTAGAATTGAAATGATGTTTGAGCATATGATGAAAAAGAATCAAGATTCTGATGCCCAATTGGCTTCTCATAATACATCTATCCGAAACTTGGAGGTGCAATTAGGCCAAATCTCCCAAGCATTGAATACTCGTCCCAAAGGTGCTATACCAAGTGATATGGTAGTGAACCCAAAGGGTGGGAATAACAATCATGTGATGATGGTTACAACAAGAAGTGGGAGAGGCGATGATATAAATGCCTCAAAGCAAAAGCAGGTTGTGGATGAAGATGTTGAGTTGCGGGATGATGATGTACCTTTGGTTGTTGAAGATGTGGTTGAAGAGAATGTGAACAATGATGCGAGGATTGATATTGATGAGGATGAGGTAGAAACCCAAGATGTCGTGAACCCGTCTAGAGAACACGTGATTGACATGCCCGAGCCAGTTGTGCTAAAAGTCAAGGCTCTTTTGCCAAGGCCACCTCCACCTTATCCTCAGAGGCTCGTGAAGCAGAAGAATGATAATTAGTTTAAAAAGTTCATTGATATGATGAAGAGCTTATCTATTAATGTACCATTAGTGGAGGCACTTGAACAAATGTCGGGCTATGCAAAATTCATGAAAGACTTGGTCACAAAGAAGCGTTCTATGGATTGTGAAACTATAAAGATGACTCACCAAGTTAGTGCTATAGTGCATTCAATGGCCCCGAAGCTTGAAGATCCCGGTGCTTTCATCATTCATTGAACCATTGGGAATGCGGATTTTGCAAAGTCTCTTTGTGACTTGGGAGCTAATATCAATTTTATGACTTACTCTGTCTTCAAAACATTGGGTATCGGGCAACCGAGGCTAACTTCAATGAGACTTCAAATGTAGGATCGATCAATGAAACGACCTTTGGGTATTATTGATGATGTGCTTGTCCGGGTGGACAAATTCATATTGTCGGCCGATTTTGTGATTTTGGATTATGAGGTGGACTATGAGGTTCCTATTATCTTGGGCAGACCTTTCCTTGCAACGGGAAAGGCATTGGTTGATGTTGAAGCGGGTGAGCTCACTTTCCGAGTGGGAGATGAAAAGGTTGTTTTCCACGTTTACAAATCTATGAAGCAACGCAATAGCACCGAGGTGTGCTCATTTGTAGACCTTGTCACAGCAGTGATTGTGGATAATACCAGTGCTATGATCAACGTGGAAGATCCTCTTGAAGCAGTGCTCTTGAACATGGATGTCAATGATGATGCTAGTAGAGTGGAATGTGTCAATTCCCTACATAGGATGGGCTCTTATTCTTATGAGCCGAGGAAGCTATCTTTGGATCTCGAAAATCGGAAAACTCCACCAACAAAGCCATCAATTGAGGAGCCACCGGTGTTGGATTTGAAGCCACTTCCTCTACACCTTAGGTATGAATTCTTGGGTTCAAATTCTACTTTACCAGTTATTCTTTCTTCTTGCCTTACTAACATGCAGGTTGAGGCCACTTTGGCGGTGCTTCAAAAGCGAAAAAAGGCAATAGGATGGACTCTAGCTAATATTCGGGGAATAGGTCCTGCATTTTGCATGCACAAAATCAACTTGGAGGAGGATGCAAAGCCTTCCTTGGAGCATCAAATAAGATTAAATGAGGCGATGCAAGAAGTGGTGAAGAAAGAGGTTATCAAGTGGTTAGACGCTGGTGTAGTTTATCCTATTTCTAACAGTTCTTGGACTTCTCTGGTGCGATGTGTGCTCAAGAAGGGTGGTATGATTGTGGTGACCAATAACAACAATGAACTCATTCCTACTCTCACAGTCACCGGGTGGAGAGTATGTATGGATTACCGGAAGCTAAACAAGGTGACCCGAAAAGATCATTTCCCATTGTCATTCCTTGACCAAATGCTAGATCGTCTTGCGGGGCGTGCTTTTTATTGATTTTTAGATGGTTACTCGGGGTACAATCAAATTTTAATTACCTCGGAGGACCAAGAGAAGACAACTTTTATATGTCCTTATGGCACATTCGCTTTCTCTCGAATGTCGTTCGAATTGTGTAATGCTCCGGCGACCTTCCAACGTTGCATGATGGTTATTTTCACTAACATGGTGTAAGATATCTTAGAGGTTTTCATGGATGATTTCAGCGTGGTTGGGGATTCTTTCGAAGAGTGTTTGGGTAATTTGGATAGAGTTTTGTTCCGGTGTGAAGACACAAACCTCGTACTCAATTGGAAAAAGTGTCATTTCATGGTTGAAGAGGGTATAGTATTGGGTCACAAAATCTCAAAGCATGGAATTGAAGTTGACAAAGCCAAGATAGAGGTGATTTCGAGGCTTCCTCCCCCTACTTCTGTCAAAGGGGTGAGGAGTTTCCTTGGGCACACAGGTTTTTACCAGAGGTTCATAAAGAATTTTTCTAAAGTGGTACACCCTTTGTGCAAGTTTCTAGAGAAAGATACAAAGTTCTTGTTCGACGAGAGTTGTATGCAAGCATTTGAGCTTCTCAAGCTCAAGTTGATTTCTACCCCCATCATTACCGCACCAAATTAGAGTTTGCCTTTCGAACTTATGTGTGATGCTAGTGACGTTGCGGTTGGGGCTGTTTTGGGCCAAAGAATCAACAAGATATTTCATCTGGTGTACTACGCAAGCAAGACCATGAATGAGTCTCAAAGGAACTATACAGTCACCGAGAAAGAATTGTTGGCTATTGTGTTTGCTATGGAAAAGTTTCGACCTTACCTTATGGGGGCCAAAGTTATAATGCACACCGATCATCCCGCCCTTAGGTATTTGATGACCAAGAAAGACTCCAAGGCGAGATTGATGAGATGGCAATACAACAAAAAAAGTCTTTAGCGGCAATTATTTAGCGGCAATAAGACAATTGCAGCTAATTTATTTACGGAAGGCAAATATCACTGGCTAATGAATATTGGCTACTAATTAGTATGTATTAGCATCCATTCAAGAGGAAAAGCTGCTAGAATAATTATTTTTACTTTTCATATTCCCTCTAATTTTTTCTTTTCCCTCGCGCCTAAATTTTAGTACTTTATTTACCCTAAAAACTGCAAACAAGGAAAAAAAAACTACGCTCTAAATCACATAAAGTATCTTCTCAATTTGGTGATTCTCTGCAACCAAAATTCTTGGCCACCGTAACAATTGCTGGTGAGTTGTCTTTCTTTATATTTTTATTTCTATCTTTAGGGTTCAATTGGATGATTCAAAATTGGAAGTCTCCATAATCTTTTTTGACCAAATAAAACAAAAGGCCACCTTTGATACCTTCTTGTTCCTTCTTCATATTCAATTTCAATATATTCATCGACCAGACTCATTTAAAGTTCAGCTCAAAGTATATGTAATTTTTTCTTTTTCTTGATTTTTTTCTTTGAATTTTTTTAACGATCATTGTATCTGGACCAATTTACGCGCAAAATAACTATATTTTGTAAAAATATTTTTTGGCTTTGGAGTTATTTGGGAAGATTGGAATATTTGTATTGTTTTGATATGTTTACGAGTTTTGCTCATGTGGGGTATTGTCTATAGTTAGGAATTTTGCCTTGAATTTATGAATTTGGGATTCTGAATCTTATTAGATTCAGAGCTTTTCCTCTTTTTGAAATTCCCTTGGAAAAAACCCTTCCTTTCTCTCTAAGAAAATTGGGGTTTTTTCTTTACATTTGTTTCTGGAATTTATTGTGAAGTCATAGAACATAAACATGTGTTATCATAATCTTGTGGAAATATTTTCAGTTTGTTTTGGTGAGAGTATAGTCTCAATTTTAACTGCATTTTGTTGTGATCTTTTACTGATTTTACCACAAAAATTGATGAAAAGTTACTATTAAATTAAAGTATTGACCAAAGATAACTGGTAGGGTCTAAATCCTTCAATTTGAAATAAATATTACCTGTTAAACCATTTAGTTGTTATCACTTTGCTTTGCTCCATAATTTTGACAGTTGGTTTGCTTTGAATTATTTATACTTAAGGTATGTGATCAGAGGTCATGAATCATTATTGTACAAACTGTTTTTTGTTTGGATTATCTTTGTCAAAAATAATTGTTGCCTTATTATCATTTTTTATGTTAATGCAAATTGTCTTCAATCTCAAGTATCTATCTCTATTAGTGGATTATGTGAAAATTTTGATTGAGTGGCAGTAATTTTGACAACCTCCAGATACAATTTTTGTCTTCTGTCCACTTTCACACGTTATTGCAGCTTGTTAATTACTTTATTTTGAAGAAGGAGCTATGCGAACTAGAGGTGAAAACAGGATGGTTATTCAACAACATGATGATGCAGATGCGCGACCTTATACTGAACAATTGATGAATGGTCAGAATTGATCTCAAGTACAAACACATGATATTCAATCTAATGAATTGAATAATTCTACCGATACTAAGGTTCAACAGAATGATGAATCAGGTAATACTTTTCGTTTATCTACTGGACATGTTAGTTCATTTACTGAGTGGTACATTGTTCTTATTTCTATTGTTCCTTGAGATTTTCAATAAATATTTTTATGTTGGTCGCGTCCTGCACTCCCATGCTCTTACTACAGAAGTATATACCACTTAAAAATTTTATTTTGCAGTATATTTTGCTGTCCTTGAGACTTTTTGGTGATAACATCTTATAGTAGATTAAAAGAAAAATAGAAAATGCTGCACTAATTTGGAAAGCAATTGTTCCATTCTCTATATGGATTTAATGATCATTAAATCTTTTTCAAATCAGGTAGTTAAGAGGAAAGAAAGGTTCGTGGACCCACAATATTAAAAGATATACGAAAACTGCCACTATGGAATACAATTGCTATACAATTCAATAATCGTAACTAACCCATAAGAAAAGAGGGTCGAAAGCTTGCTAGCTTTCTAGGCATAATCGCTAGAACTCCAGAACTAACACCTCTGAACATAGATGATTGGAGAAACTTTGCCAAAGATGAAAAGAAGAAACTGTTGGAGTTTGTGAAGGTATGGAGTTATTATTATTCTTACGATGTGTGAATATAATAATATATTATTTTATTATACGTGATATTATCTTTTGATTGTTTTCTTTTATTTCACAGAAGAAGTTCTCTATCCCAACTCGTGGAGAAGCATATGGCATAAAGTCAACATGAAATAAATGGAAAGATTACAAATGTGACTTGAAAAATGTGTATACGACAAAATATAAGACGAAAGATGCTTTGCTAAGAAATAGACCAAGTCATATACCACGAGATCAATGGACCGGTCTTCTCTCTTATTGGTTTTCTGATAAAGCAAAAGTATCAATTTTATACTTTTAAAATACACATTTAATTTTTATTGTGTGATTGTTTTTGTTAGTTTTTATGTATAAATTATTATATATTATTTTTATATTGTAATGACAGAAGCGTACACAAGCAAATAGAAATAACAGATCAAATCAAAAGATGCCTCACATAGGATGGTCAAAAAGTATTGCCGCCTTGATGGATGAGAAGGTATTCTTGTGTATATTTTAAAATTTAATTTTTCAAAACTCTCTTTGTTATGCATATTTGACATTATTATATTATATTAGGCTGAAAATAGGATAGAGCTTGCATGAGCATACATTTTCATATTAACTCATAAACAACGTAAGGATGGTAGGCCACTGGATGCTGAGTCTACAAGGACAATCGCAAGATTTCTTCTTTTTTATTTTCTGAATTTTGGTTATCTTTCCAGAATTGGGATTATGAGAACTTTATTTGCCTTTTTCTGATACTATCATTTGAAATTATATGTAACAATCTAGCTAGTCACTAGAATCATGAACCTCATGTCACAAAAAAATTGCCTAATATTTTGATTGCGTGAGACATAACTAAAAGTGAATAATATAAGAAAAATAAAATTCAGCTTTAATTGCCTTAGTATACTTCTCAGATAATAGTGATGAAAACCTAATATTGAGATAACAGCTTAGAACATAGTGACTTAGGTCATATTGTCTCTTAAAAACTGCAAACTTGGGACCAAAGTGAAGGTTATGGAGTTGTTTAAATCCAAATTTATGATATTAAAGAGACTAAAACTTTAGTGTGTATGGAGATATTATTTTTTACACCTCCCATAATGTGCTATGGTTGGCTACCTCTTAGATATTATTTTGAATTATGACAATCAAGATAAAATGGCAAGAAAATCATTTGATGGAATTAGGATACAATATTTTAATATGTTGGAGTTTGAATAGTTGTTTGTTTATGGTGCACCCTGATTACCATTAGCCAATGTTTTGTGTACATCATCTGGAGGTTCCTTTGATTAAAATATGACTTTTAGGTCATTATGAACTATTTCCAATTAGATTGTAGAGGTTGGCAGCAATAGCAATAAAGCTTGTCACAACAGCTTGAACAATCATGACCACTGTGATTATATTGTCTTTACTTGAAGATAAACCATGGACATCTTTGCAAAAAATGAATTAAAATGCTCACCACAGAAAAAGAATAAAGAAATCATTCAGATTTCTTATAGAGTAAATGGATGAGGGTAGTAAGATAAAGGCCTTAGAGCAATTGCACCTAGCAGCATGTGGCTTTTAGGTAGGTGGCCAACCAACCAAGTTGAGTTCACTGGGCCTGATCAGTCGATATGCTCACTGGGCCGGTAGAGGCACCCCGACTATCTGAGTATAACTTCAACATTGATGGCATGATCGGTGGACTATTTGGACGGTTCTCAGCTTGTTCAAGCATTGTCTTATCACCGGTAGCAGCTACATTATCCAAAACATCAACACATTCAAGTTCTTGCCTCTCATCATGTACAACAATAGATTTAAAGCTTGCTGGTTTTCAACTAGTTCAGCACGTGCAACAGTTGCATCAGTCACAGTGTTAATCTGTCCCCGTCCATTATTAAGTTGCTGCACAGCTTCATTACCTCAACAAACTTGAGTACATCCTTGATCTGAAACACGATCAGTAGTAGGGTTTTTAGAAACCTACTTTTCCCCATCGCAAACCTGAGAAACCCTATTCAAAGCTGTAATTTTAGAGCCTGCTGTTTTTTCAAACAATTCAGCAGGTACAGCAGCTGGTTGATCATGTACATGCACCAACTGTTGTTGAACAATAATCTCATTAGGAAATTCCAAAACCTTTGTACCATCTGTTGCCTTAGGATCCTTCAAATCAACAGGTTGTTCAGTAGATGATTGAGCTCGATTCCCATTAGGAGTCGGAGCAGCAAGTACCTATTGTCCAGCTGCATATATTGAGAGTACCATCTTTTCTCTTTCCCATATGTTGATAGTTGTATCTTAGATTGTTCATGTTCCTTAGTGATCAGTTGTCCAGCTGCATTAGTGTATTGCTCAACATCTATAGTTATAGAAGTCCTAGTTAAATTTCTATCAACCACAGGTATTGTTGCATTCTTCAAAACCTGAGAACCCCTAACTACAGCAGCATCAACAGGGCCTGTAGAAGTACTAGAACCAGCCGTTATACTCGAGACACCTCTCCAACAGAATATAATATATGTCCAAGTTCTTTTCCTTTCACTCCTTCCCTTTTATTGTTCTCTGGAACTATTATTGGCTTGATATATGCACACATAACAAATGTGACTTCCAATCTTGTATGGCAAGGCATAATGTGTGGTTTGGGGTAAGAATCTTGTGTTGCAGTCTCTGTTTCATCACAGGTTACACGTTATGTCTGTTAACCCATGCCTTCACTGCTCTATGCTCATATGTAAAGTGATCAGCTACTATATGTGGGTTTTTCATTACTTACTGCAAAGATGTCGTGTGATAATAGACAAGGAAGCAGAATGAGATGCATGTTTGTAGAGAAAAGGATTTTACAAATTAGCAGGTCATCTCCTGGAATTTCAATTCTCACCTGAAGGATTGACATAAGTACTGGCTAGGTGCCTGGATAAGGTTCTTCTCTATCTTGACATGCATTTCCGCAATACATGAGAAACAGTTGGAGTGGTTTTCACCTTTATTTTCCCGGAGTTCTTGCACACTTTTGAAAGCTTAAATCTTTTTCTGATTTGCTTGATATCTTGAAAATTCATCTCATTTACTTCTTATATATACTATTGCAGTTTGATTTGTTTCGGTCGGATTTGTTATGTCTTATTCTATAGAAAAATGGAACTGTCATTCTACAGTAAAACAACTTTAGCTTGGGGCAATGTTTGCTCGATAAACATCCAGTTGAAGACTATTATATTTCATCTATTGACGTAGTTATTTTGTAATTTTAGGTCACAGTCTGATGATCGATAATTTAGCCGGTGGAAGATTTTAAAATGATGAAGCATTGCAGAAATTATTTGAAGACTATTATTTGTTAGGATTAGTTATATAATGACAATAGCTATTTGCTTCAAATAATATAAGTTTATATTTTAAGTTACCGTGATATTACTATTTTGGATTAATACTTCCTTTTGTTTTTAAGATTTAATGAGATACAATATGTTTTTATGAATCAATATTATTATGTTTTATTATTTGGATCATTTTTTTAATGAATGTAGTAACTATTATCAATGGTGGTTAAACTATTATCGTTATAGCTTGTGACTTAGTGACAATTTAACATAATATACTAGCTACAAAAATAGATGATAAAAGGGCAAATTATGATGTTTCCACGGGGAATATTATAGCCATTATAATTGCTATTAAAAATAATTTTTAGCGGCAATTTGATTGAATTTACTAGCCATCAAAATGGATGCTAAAAGGGCGTACTAATTCGTTTTCAAAAGGAATATTATAGCCATTTTAATTGCCACAAAACAATTATCGCTAAATCTATAGACCTATAGCGACAAATATTTTGAATTTAGTGGCTATAAAAATGGACGTAAAAAGAGCATTAGTAGCTGTTTTTAGATTAGATTTAGCAGCCATTATAATTGCCGCAAACAATTGCCGTTAAAGCAAATAATATTTAGCGGCAATAAGTCCGACCTTTACCAGCTTTTGTAAGAAACGCCGCTAAAGGCTTTGCTGACCCCAATATCAGTGGCTAAACATCAATGGCCGGTAAATGGTATAGCGGTAATTGTTATTTCCGCCAGTGACCTTTTATATTGCCGCTAAAGCCCCTTTTTGTTGTAGTGTGGGTGTTACTTCTTCAAGAGTTTGATCTAGAAATTATTGACCGGAAAGGTAGTGAGAATCAAGTGGCGGACCACTTGTCCCATTTGGAGGAGGAGGGGAGGCCTTGTGACGGCCTTGAGATCAATGATTCATTTTCCGACGAACAACTCCTTGCAGTGTCAATGAAGGATATGCCATGGTTTGCCGATGTTGCCAATTACCTTGTGATCGGAATAATCCCGTGTGAGCTCTCTTCTAACCAAAGGAAGAAGCTCAAGCGGGATAGTTTGGATTTCTATTGGGATGAGCCATACTTGTTCCAGATTTGCATGGATGGTATGATTCGTAGATGTGTCCCGGAGGAAGAACAATTGAGTATCTTAGAGGCTTGCCAATCTTCACCCTATGGTGGCCATCATGGTGGGATAAGGACCGCCTAGAAAGTTCTTAGTTATGGATTCTATTGGCCCACCTTGTTCAAAGATGTGGGCGATTGGGTGAAGAGATGTGATGAGTGCCAAAGAGCGGGCGAAATTTTAAAAAGGGATGAGATGCCTCTCAATACGATTCTTGAAGTGGATATCTTTGATGTTTGGGGCACCGATTTCATGGGTCCATTTGTTAGCTCTTGTGGGAATACTTACATTCTCGTGGGGTTGATTATGTCTCAAAATAGGTTGAAGCCGTGGCTTTGCCTAATAATGAAGCCCGAAGTGTTATTGTATTTCTTAAAAAGAGCATCTTCACAAGGTTTGGCACTCCTCGTGCGATTATTAGTGACGGGGGGTCTCACTTTTGCAACAAGGCTTTCGACACGTTGCTTTCCAAGTACGGTGTCAATCATAAAGTTTCTACCCCCTATCATTCTCAAGCTAGTGGTCAAGTGGAAGTCTCTAACAGAGAAATTAAGAGCATCTTGTCACAAATGTAATATGACCGATTGGTCGAAAAAGTTGGATGACGCTCTATGGGCTTATCGGACGGCTTAGAAAACTCCAATTGGTATGTCTCCGTATTAGTTGGTGTTCGGAAAAGTTTGTCATCTTCCGGTTGAGTTAGAGCACAAGGCCATATGGGCGTTGAGGAAGTTGAATTTGGAATGGGATGTTGCGGCAAATCTTCGTGTTGAACAACTCAATGAGCTCGATGACTTTAGATTCCATGCCTACTCAAGTTCATCCTTGTATAAGGACAAAATGAAGTACCTTCATGACAAATATGCTCGGGGTAAGGAGTTCAACATTAGAGATACGGTTCTCTTGTTCAATTCCCGGTTACGTCTGTTTTCGGGTAAGCTCAAGTCAAAGTGGAGTGGGCCATTTGAAGTTGTGTTCGTGACCCCATTTGGTGCTCTTGATCTAAGGAACAAAAATGGTGAAGTTTTCAGAATTAATGGGCACCGGGTCAAGCATTATCTTGGAAAATTTGATGACAGCCACGTGGTGGCACTTCTTCATCTAAAGTGATGTGATGGTAACATGTGTCGTGCCGCGACGTTAAATCAGGCACTTCTTGGGAAGCAGCCCATGTCTTTTTCTTCTTGTTTTCTCTGATTTTCTTTGTAGTTTAGGATTGATTTTTGAGCTAATAGTTTGAGAGATGTTGCAGTGCAAAAAATTTTGGAAAAATTGAACAGTCACTGAAGTTTGCCAGTGCGGCCGCATTGCACTTTGTGCGGTCCGCACTGGTGAAGGCCAAGTGAGGTACTTTTTAAAGTTTGCCACCGCGACCGCATTCCATTTAGAGCGGTCCACGGTGGACCTCCGCGGCCGCGGTCTGGTTTTGTGCGGACCGCGGAGGTTGCCTTCTCAAGCTTCTTCTGAATAAACCCAGCGCGGTTCGCGGTCTGTTTTGTGCGGCCGCACTGGTAGGTAAGACTGGGTCCCACATCTTTTTATATAAATAGAGCTCAGGGGTCACCAGTTACATTTGCGAAATTTTAACACTCAAAGACCTAAAAGATACTGTTCATACTCTCTTGTGACCATAATTATTGCTTAGACTGACTAATTGCATTTTATCTTCACATCTAGTAATATTTCACTCATTCCTTATACGTTTAATTGATTAATTTTGTTTTTATTTTATTACTATTAGCCTGTAACTTGTTTTTCGTCCTGTTTTCTCTAATTTTGTTAGCTTAGGTTGGTTTAAGTGTTAGTTTCTGGGGTGCTTAATGTGCATAATGACTGGGTAAATTGAATAGGGACAAAGTAGGTGAAAACTTGAACAAAAATGCAAAAATTGGAAACCCTAACTCAGTGCCTGAACTAAGCACCCTCCGCGGACCGCGGTAGCTTTTGTGCGGTCCGCGATGCCCTGACGAGGTCCGCAGTACCATTTTGTGCGGACCGCGGTACCCATGTGTTTGAAAGTTGACTTGTGCCCAGCGCGGCCGCATTGCACTTAGCGGTCCGCGCTGGCCCACCGCGGCTGCGATACCGCTTTGTGCAGACTACGGTGGAGAGATTCAGAGGAGTGATTTTCTAGACACTACCCCAATGCGAACCACGGTGGCTTTTGTGCGGTCCGCGGTGCACCCAATGCGGCTGCACCCCTTTTTGTGCGGGCCACGTTACACTGTTTCTGCAATATGTTCTGCAACTTTTGATCTTCTGTTCTGCAATTCATTTTCCATATCTCTTTCATTGTTTGTGTCAATACTAACAAAGCTAGATGTTTGTGATTGCAGACAATGGTCAAACAAAGAGGCAAAGGCTCGAAACAACCCGGCCGAGGTGATTCCTCCCGGGGAGGGAAGCAAAGGATGGTAAAACTCACTCCCCAGGTTAGAAAAAACATAAAGGACATGAGGAAAGCAATCAAAGTGGCTGACAGAGCCATTGACAACTCGAGGAGTGAGTACGAGCCCTCCTGGGAGACCTCTTCAGATTTAGTCCCACTATACATCCCGTATCCGGAGAGGACCATACATAGAGACACTCCTCCCTCTTCCCCCGATACTCAAACTTCAATCAACATTTCTTCTGGATCGTCTAAGGGCTCAGCGGCAGGTAGTGGGGATGAATACTCTACCTCTCTCATAGCATCAATATTTGGAGAGGGTGCTAAGGGTGATGAGGGAGATGGGGAGTTACCTGGGGGTGGTGTGCCTCAGGTTGGGGGTGTTGACCGGACTAGAAATCCCACTGTTTAGGAATATAGATTCGTCAGCCAGGTGGCGTTCCACAAGTTTAGGGAATGGTGGCCGTCACAAAAGTTGATTTTTGAGAGGAGCTTCATTGACAGAGACCTTTTACCCCTACACCCCAATGTACATAGACAGTTTCAAGCTCGAGTGGGTTGGGAGTTCTTTAAAGATAATTGTATGAATGCGAATGAGTACATGGTCAAGGAGTTTTATAGCAATGTGGCCCACATCTTGAAGGGCACTAAAGTGACCAAAGTGCGAAACAAGAATGTGATATTTACCGGGAAGGCACTAAATGAATACCTGGGGTTCATTGAAGAAGACGAGTCCCTATACAATGAAAAGTTGGCAATGGGCGAGGAGGTTCGTCCATGGTTAGCTTCATATCTGGAAATCCCGGGTACGATTCCAGAGTGGTTTCAAGCAGGGGCCAAAATACTTCGTAGGACCTTTAACTTTGAGGCTAGGGGTGGTTGACTTTTGTGTGTAGTCGGCTTGACCCCACTACCCATGATCAGACTATTCCACTTGCCTGGGTTGTTCTTGTTGCTTCTATTATGGCGGGATACCCTATCAGCATGGGAAATGTGATGTCCCGCGTTATTTCTACAGTGGGGGTTGAGCATGACTGGATCTACCCTTTTCCCAGCACCCTCACTATGTATTTTCGGGACCTGAAGGTGGAGAAGAGATCTTTTGACATCAAGGTCAAACCTGTGGCTCCGTTTTCATGGTATAGTTTGAAGGGGTCGGACAACCCCAAGGACAAAAATTACAAGCCGCCTGCTTCTGCCCCAACCGGCCAGTCTGAAGAGCCGGTTGCGGTAGAGCCCTCCACTGATCCTACCTCCACAGTTGCTGACATGTCTCCCGGACCTTCCACTACTGTCGGTCCCTCTACTTCAGCTGACTCGGGGATTCCATCTTCCTAGGCCCATCCAATCACTGGCCACCAGCTGAGCCAGACACTTTATAGCTTGAACTACTGGATGTCAGCTGCATCATCCAAGTTGTCTACCGTGACTTCTACCATTGCGGCTCAGTCGGCACCGCAGCTAGCACAGATTCCACAGGCCATTGAGGATACATTGAATAAGATCCTGGAGAACCAAGAAAAGATCATCAGTACTCAGGGTGCCTTGGCTAAGGCAGTG